ACTCTCTCTCTCTCTCTCTCTCTCTCTCTCTCTCTCTCTCTCTCTCTCTCTCTGTGTGTGTGTGTGTGTGTGTGTATATATAAGAGATGAATGGCTATGATATTTGAAGCCAACTATACTGGGAAGGAAATAACATAAACCTTCCAAGGGGATTTGTAGATCAGAGGCAGGGTGTGTACTTATATGCAGAGCCAATAACCAGGAAACTGCATGTCCTTACAAATTTAAATACTTTGGATGTTCCCCCATTTATTGGTTATCATTTCCAAAGCTTTCACTTAGTGTGATTTCACCTGAAATCTTTAACATGATGATGGCATCTGGGGTGGATGTAGTCTTCTCCATCACCAACTGAAAACATTTCCTTGATGAGAAACACACTTGTCAGATGTCAGCAGAAACTAGGATGGGCAGTGAGGGCTCTGAAACCCCAGGAAGTCACTGCAGAACACCTGGGATAAGACTTGTCAGTTTACTGTGTGCACAGCTGCGCCTGTCACAGAAGCAGAGACTCCAGGAGCATTGGGGACTTCCTCTAAAGTCTCATCATCAATGAGCTCTGAGACAGCTCTTCGTAACATGAAAAATAAAAGACCCAGAGTCAGATATTGGGATTCAAACCTCAAGCTGATGGTCAGGGAAGCAAAGCAGACAGCCCCTAGCTTCTTACTTTTACCTCAGGCTACATGGGCTGACCCTATCTCCACAAGCTCTCACCAAGCCTCAGAACCGCTCCTAAAAATGGCTGGAGAATAAATGTTTCTGTCTTCAGTGTGGCTGAATACTAAGACCCTGCTTCTATTGTTTATACCCCTCTAGTGCTTCAATTAAAGGGGTGTGATCTGATTCAATCTCATGTATCAGCGTTGAACTCAAAGAGATCTGTCTCCCTCTTTATAATGGGTGGTAGGATTAAAGGTGTGTATCACCACCTCATAGCATCTGGCTGCTGGGATTAAAGGTGTGTGCCTGGCTTCTATGGCTTGTGACTGACTTTGCTTTCTGGAATGCCATGCAAGCTTTAATAATTCATAAATATTATATCACTACAGCTCTTGGAAATGAGAATAGCCATTTTGAATGGAGCCATTTACTGGAACCACAAAACACAGACCCAGTCGTGTGATGATTAAAGACCTTTCAGAATTTTACTGTGTGTTTTGCCCCACCTTTATTTATGAGTAAAATGCTCCAAGACAGAATTAAAAATCACCCTCAGTGAAGCCACACATGACAACAGGCCATTTGAACATGGCAGCAAGCACCAGTCAAATGCCTTGTACACACTTTACAGGGTCAACACTGACAAATGACAAAGATATGTGTAGGGGAATATATCAGTACATGGGATATGGGTATTGTTGGATAACTTTTTCTTTTCTTTTCTTTTTTCTTCTTTTTTTTTCTTTTTGTTTTTCAAGACAGGGTTTCTCTGTATTGCTTCAGAGGCTGTCCTGGAAGTTACTCTGTAGTCCAGGCTGGCCTTGAACTCACAGAGATCTGCTTGCCTCTGTCTCCCAAGTGCTAGGGTTAAAGGCCTGTGACACAAACTTTATTGAGGGGAAATCACTTACATGAGAAATGATAGCCCAGGCTAGTGCTCCCAGTGCCCAGTCTCAGCAGCTCTCTGAGACCCGACTGGAACTCTGAGAGGAGGAGTGGCCCCTCTCCTCAGTCCTTTATCCCACAAGCCCTGAATGCACCTGTGGCCATGCCCAAATGCGCATGGTCAGTGCCACAGGTACCTAGAGATCTCTCTCTCTACAGATTTGTTGCTCAAATTGAGAGCTGAGTATGTAAAAGATGGCAGGTGCAAAACTAGTTCAGGTGTTTGCATCAATGTTGGCCTGTGAAGATTTTTTTCATTTGTTTGTTTGTTTTCCTTCAGGGTTCCCATCCGAGGACAAGGAGAATGTGGCTACCTGAATGACATCGGAATCAGCAGTGCAAGGGACTACACACACAGGAGGTGGATTTGTAGCAAGTACAAAAGACATATTTAACAGTTCCCAAGATTTTAAAAGGAGGACATGCAATGTGCTAAAGCCTTCATGAGAAACAGATGTTCTGTGACCTGCCATCTGCAGTTGCTGTTCCACTCCTGAGGTGCTAAAATTATCATTAAAATCCATCAATAATATGTGTTTTACACTGAAGATAAAAACTCAGAGTGTACAGAGAGATCTCTTGGTACCTATGGCACTGACCACGCCGCTCCCTTGGGTGTAGCCACAGGTGTGTAAAGAACATGAGGGATAAAAGACTGAGGAGAGGGGTACTTCTCCTCTCTCAGGGTTCTGGTGGGGTCTCAGAGAGCTGCTGAGACTGGGTGCTCAGAGTGCTAACCTGGGCTATGGGTTTCTCATGTAAGTGATTTCCCCTCAATAAAGTTAACTAACAATACCCACATCCTGTGTATGGATATCTTCTGACTACATCTGGTGTCAGAAGTGAGAAATTCCCAGCCCTTCCCAGCAAGGCGAGCACTCACTACCACAGCTATGCTCACTGTCTTTTGCCCCACGCCCCCAGAGTCCCTGAGTCTCTGAGGTACCTGGGTCTTCCAGCTAAGCAGCATGGTTCTCCTGAGCTTGCCCCACCCTCCACCCCCCACCCCTGCTCCACATCCCTGTGTGCTGCAGGTTGTTATAATTAAGAATTTCTCTATTATATCAAGAAGCCAATTGATGTAAGACAAAACAAAATCTAGGGACTGTCATTTGTCTATACTCGGTTCTTTCTCTGAAAGCCTAATTTCCCTTATATTTATTATCTTTTTTCCTGGTATGCATACCTATAAAAGTTGAAATTTCTGTGTTGACGTAAATGTTTAATCCCCCCACATTGAACAAAGATTACTTATTGGCAATCTTTGAACTATCCCAAAAGGAAATGGGACCCCACTTCATCAATCCCACTTGATTCAACTTGATGTCTTTGAACTGACAATTACCACCCTAAAACCGGTTCGGGACTATATTGCTCTACACAACTCTGGACTAGCTAGCTGAAATGGTGTGCCTTCTTATTACACTTGGCCAGAGCTTCAGATAAGAACTTCAGTCAAGCATCCCCCACCGAACAAAAGACTAGGTACAAATGTTATAGCTAATCTGCTCAAGACTTTCCTTACTCTAAGTCTTTCTTCCTACAGGATCCCATGAGATTATCATTGTTCCATTTCAGCAGGCAGTAATTCTAAGAATACCATGCCCCCTTTTCCCTACTGTTGACACGAGGGATAATTTACACCTGTTTAGGGTTGGTTTTCAGTTGTTTAGGGTTGGGTTTGGAAGGAGGTGTTCAGAATTGGGTATCTCTTTTAGATGAGTTCAGGGTTTGGATGGGAAAGATATGGTTAGGATGGGATATAGATGGATGAATATATCTTCTTGTGATTTGCCTTAGTAATTGTTAGCTATAGACAACTTACATTGTTATGGATTCTCATTTGATGTGACTTATGTATAATCAAGTTGTATTCCTATCTTGGATAATTTGTATATCTCATTTTGTCATACTGGGCAAGGTATTGTTTCTATTCAGGATGTTTGGTGCATAAATATCCTTATCATTTTCTATGTAGATATGCTTTTACATATCTTTAAGATACTTTGTCTTTTTACATTTTTTAGTGTATTTCTATCATGTTGCACTATACAGTTCTACCTTAGATTAAGGCACTTCTAATACCTCTGTTTTAGAAATTCACATATATGTGTGTATATAGTTATATTGCTGTAATCTTTTTATCATTTTTATTTGAATTAGAAACAAGATTTATTTACAGGACAATCCCAGTTCCCTTCTCCCTCCCGTCCTCCCCTATCATCCACCCAACTAAAACCCTACCTATCACCCTTTCTTCTATTCTTCACCTGACTCAACCTTTCTGCTCCCTCATGACCTCTGCATCCTTCCTCTTCTTCCTTTCTCATTCTCATAGCTCCCTCCCCCTCTTCTAATTTTAAATCATGGTGGTCTGATAAGATACAGGGGCTATTCCAATTTTTTTTGTAACTGTTGAGGTTTGCTAGGTTGCCGAGTATGTGGAGGATTTTAGAGAAGGTTCCATGTGGCACTGAGAAGAAAGTATATCCTTTGTGTTCAGATGGAATATACTATAGATAATAGAATTGTTAATCCCAATTGAGTCATAACTTCTGTTAGTTCCTTTGTCTATTTGTTAAGTTTCTGTCTGGTGTTCCTGTCTAGTAGTGAGAGTGGGGAGTTGAAGTCTCCCACAATAAATGTGTGGGGTCTTATGTGTGATTTGAGTTTTAGTAATGTTTCTTTTATGAGCATGGGTACCTATTAGCCTGTGTCTTTTTATAGGCAAGTGAAGACCATTACTATTGAGGGAAATTC